TCTTCCAGCTTATTATCTTTGAATTTTATTTTGTTTTATTTGTCATAGAAAAGTTTCAAAATTATATCTAGTTAAATTTATCAATCTTTTCCTTCATGCCATTTACTGTTAACAGTTTGGTGTATACTATGCATTGCAAATATATTTATAAGTATATATATAGTTAAATATATAAAGTTTTTCTGCACATTTTAGATTAGATTATACAAATTATTCTGAAACTTACTCATTTCATTTACTAGTATAATTGTGAATATTTCCCATATTAAAATATAAAGCTCTAACTCTAATGTGGTATTCCATTATAGGAACTACTATAATTTTATTGAATCAGTTTTTAAATTTTTTTATTTTCACATTTAAATTTCAACATTTTGGGGGTTGAGAGAAATAGAGACTGAAGTTTATTTATTCCATGTGTTGAACCAATTGTCTCAATAGCACTTGTAAAATAATCTATCCTTTCCCCACTGAATTGAAATAATTTAATCACATAATAAATATCATACATTTGCTAACATATTAAATACACCTAAATACACCTATATTTAAAACATTGGTTTCTTTCTAGATTTTCTATTTTGCTACATTTGCTTATTTATTCCATAATCAGCACAACATGGTTGTAATTATTTTAGTTTGTAATATATTTTAATACCTACAAAGTCAACATTATCCCATTTCATTTTTTTTCAGTATTGCCTTGGCTAATGCTTTTTCTGCATTTGTTTTGAAATTTAGAATCATTCTATGAAGTTCCCAAAACATCTATTTAGGGTTTTGATTGGAATTGTGTTAAACTGACTAATTAATTAAAGAACTAGTGGCATAATTTGCTAATGATTATTTCAGTTTAAAAGCATAGTGTGTCTCTCTCCATCTCATCAAGTTTTGTTTTTATGTACACTTAGTAATGTTTTTGTTTTCTGTGTAAGTCTTGCATTTTTTTCATCAAGTTCATTCTTAGATATTTTATATTTTTATTAAAATTTTAAATAAAAATTTAAAAGTATATTTTCTAACAGACCATTATTATCTCTAGAAAATACTCATTTTGTGTCCCTTTTGTAACAACTCACTTTACTGAATATTAGTTTAATTGTTTTCAGCTAATCCTTGTGGATTTCTTATGTAGACAATCATGTCATTTGCAAAAAAAATAATAATAACTAATTTTTCTAATATTTCCATCTCTTTATTCTTTTTTTCTGAGTTCTTGGAGATTTTCTTGGGTTTATCTTCATATTCCCTGATTTAATTTTCTAAAGTATATAATATGTGGTTCACTGCTTCTTTTGGATTTTAATATTCAACAATCATTTTTCTCTAAAATACTCATCTTTGGAAAGTTGCCAAACTTTCTCCCACTTGTCAAAACCAACGGTCCTTATTCCCTGATGGCTCTGTTATACTGACTTGATCCCCTCTCCTTCCTGGAACTTCCTTTTCTCTTGGCATCCATGGCACTGTGCTCCCTGGTTCTCCCTCTAACACTCCTCCTCAGTCTCTCCATCCTCCCCTCTGAGTTCCCAAGTTCCACTCTAGTTGTTCTTCTGTTCTCACTCTTCAAGTTCTCACTGACAATCTCATCCACCCCTACGCCCACCACCCACAGGCCAGGTTTTGAGAGAGTTCCAGCCTCATAGTTCCATTTAAGGTACATCCCTGCCTGGATGTTTTAACACCAAACCCACTGTCTCCCAAATGTGTTACTCCTACTATTCACAGTGCCATCGTCCACTTAGTTGCCCAAGGTAGAACCTCAGCAGCATCTAGACATCTCCCTCTCCCGTGTGTGTCTGCCCTATCCAGTCACTTCATGCTGTTGACTTAGTGGTACAAATGCCTCTTCTCTCTCTCTCTCTCTCTCTCTCTCTCTCTCTCTCTCTCTCTTTCTCCTACTTGACTTTTCAGGCCCTCAGGATCTCCAGAGCATCCCAGTTGTCTCTTTCCCCACTCTACTTTTAGTCTTTTACTCATCCTTGTCACATGCCTTCCCAAAACACATTTAGTCATGCCAGTTGTTTGTTCAAACAATTTCAATGGATTCTGTTGCAAAACAAATTCCAAACAGATAGGGCTTTCTGTTATCTGGTTCCAATAACCCTTCTACTTTTTCACCTGCCATTCCTTCTAGACACCCTATGCTCCAGCACACCAAGACTCTCACCACCCCCCAGTCAGCTTTGCACAGCCCCTTCCCTTTGCATACTGCTTGTCCTTCAAGATCAAGTTCAAAAGACAACTCCACGAAGCCTCCCTGGACTCCTGAGGTGGAGAGGTTTAGGATCCCTCCTCTGTGCTCCGGCTGTATCTGATAAATGCTCCTTCACTCAGGCACCTTGCGCGGGGACTGCAGTTATGTCTATGTCTATCTCTCCCTCCAGATCAAGAGGAGGCCCAGGACCCCTCTATCTACCTTGCTCACTTCTCACTCTCACACACCCTTCTCTCCAGCATACTCACCGGTCTAAGTTTCTATTCAAGTTAAACCCAACTACCACTTATTCCATGCCTGCATTGAACAGTTAAAAAGTAAACATCTGGGGCATGTAATATTACCTAGTAACCTTACTATATACCTATGGTATATTCAGCTTCTCACTTTCCAACTATTTCTCACTCTTTCATACCTTCCTCTCTGTCTTCAGACTTTCTCAAATTCCTCTTCCCCTGATGATCTTGCAACTAATTCACTGAGAAAATACAAGCAACCAGAAGACAATGTCCTCACTCCCTACCACATCTTCCAATTCCCTGTATCCTCTGCTCCCACCAAAGGCCCAGCTCTCCCCTTTTTCTCTGTGTCCTGTCCCCTCCCACTACCCAGTCTTGGCTCTTGCAGTGGTCTCCTTTTTCTTCTCTAGCATATACATCTCTCTTTCTACTGGATCATTTCCATTGGCCTGCAAGCCTGCCTCATTGTCATCTGTCTCTTAAAATACAAGAACAAAGATAAAGCAGGTCTTTTGACTCTTTCTCCCTACTAATAAGAACCACTCTATGTTTCAGCTGTCCTTCACACCAAAACTTTTCAAAAATCATCTTTAATAACTATCTCCAATTCCTCATCTCCCACCTCATCTCCAATCAAACCTCCATCCTTTCTACTCCACTGAAACTGGTCTTGCCAAGATAACAGCGGTCTTCTAGTTATCAAATCACGTTGCAACAACTGTGTCCTCAGCTTGCTCTACCTTTCAGCTGCATTTGGCACAGTTGACCACTTCCTCCTTCTTAAAACACTTCCTGTCTCAGACTTCATGATACCTTCTATTACCTATACCTCCCTGGTCTTTGTTTAATTTTCCTTCTCTTCTCTCCTCTCCTCTTCTCTTCTCTTCTCTTCTCTTCTCTTCTCTTCTCTTCTCTTCTCTTCTCTTCTGTGTTAGAGTTCAGTCATAAGACCTCTTTTCTTCTCCATGTCTGATATTTCCATGAATAATTTCATTGGATTCTATGGATTTAGGCCCATCTATGTGTTAATGACTCCCAAATTTATATACCCGGTCCAGAACTCTCCCCCAAACTCCAGACTGTGACTTATATACTTGTCCTCTAAGAAGCATTTCTAACTTAACAATCAGTTAAGTTTCTGCACAATTAAGTTAAATTGTAGCCCCAATTTGTAGTGTTTGCTGATTTCTATAGTGCAAATACTCCCACCATAGCCAATTTCAAGCCACTCCAATTTCAAGCTGCAGAAACAAATGGCAGAAATAACATGTCTAAAACAGAACTCTTGATGTTCCCTTTCAAACATTCTTCTCTCCAAGTCTTCTCTATTCATTAAATAGTACCATTCTCCCAGTTGTTCAAGCCAAAAACCCAGGTATCATCCTTGATTTCTCTTCCCCCACCCCTTCCTCACTGCTCTACTATCTAGTTCATCAGCAAATCCCTTGGATTCTACCTGAAAATACTTCGCTAATCCACCTACCTGCTTCCATTGCTGCCATCCTAGTCCAAGCTGCCATCATCCCACACTACACTACTGCAGTAGCCTCCAAACTGGCCTCCTGGCTTCCCCTCTTGCTTCCTGCCGACCATTCATTCTCCACACAGCCACCAAAACAATCCTTTAAAAATGGAAATCAGAGCATATCATTCTCCTGCTTTAGTCTCCTGACTAAAACCTTCCAATGATTCTGCATTGCACTTAACCCCCGTCCTCATCCAGGCCCACGAAGCCCTCTGTTGTTTTGCTCCATCCACCTCTCCAACCCTACCATGTCCACACACATACACCCTCGCTTGCCACTGGCCACATGGCATTCTTTCTGTTCCTCCAACCTTAACTTTTTTCCTCCTAAAGGCCTAGGTAGCAGCTATTTCCTCTTCTTGGAATGCTTACTCCCTCTCACTCTACCCTATTTTATTAATTATAGTACTAATCAAACTTAACATTTCCTCAGGTTTTGTTTGTTTGTTTGGGTGTGTATTTTTTAAAATATGTATATCTTACCTAGAATAAAAGCTTCCTGAAAGTATGGACCATACTGTCTTGTTATTTGTTGGAATCCTAGTACCTAGAACAGTTGTAGGCACATAGTAGATGTTCAGTAAATGCTTGTTGAAGGGATGAGTCCGAGTATTCTTTGCAATACAGTTCCTGACCCAGAGTTAAGATCTCCTATATTTGCTGAATTAATAGGTAAGTCGCCCCAACTACAGTGTGAGCTTCTTGAGAGCAAGCCCTGTTTTAGATTCCTTTGTTTCCTCCACAGCACCTAGCATGATGCTAGGGATTTCCAGGTGCTTAGCAAATATGCTTGTTTGATTTATTCCTTTTCATACCGGGAAATCCAACTTATTAAGCTGTCTTCTTAGTGAACGTCTTTTCTCTGAGCACAAGCATGAGGTACAAGAGGAATGTCATGAGAACCAAGATGACCTAGGTAGGAAGTTATAGGGGTGGGTCAGCCATTACAGGTGATAATAGAGATAAAGGATGGTCTGCACCTGGTAGTTTTCCCATCGCTATTCTATCTGTCATAACGATGCATTTCTTTTTGGTGAATGTGTTACAGAGTGCGACCTACATCCTGATCATGGTGGATCCCGATGCCCCTAGCAGGTCTTCGCCCCAAGCTCGGTTCTGGAGACATTGGCTGGTGACAAATATCAAAGTAAGCCAGCCGAGAGGCGCTTTCTGATTCTCTGGGGATTATGGCTGGAAGATCGCTATCATTCTCTGCGTTCTCAGCTCTCATTTCATGAGGGTTGAGGACTCTGATGAGCAAGGACTTCTGCGTCAGGTCACCCCCCGCCAGCTCCTAGCTGTCACAGCCCCCCCAAGTTTTCTTACAATTTCAAAAATGTCCCAGGGTCAGTGGTGCACAGGCAAATGGGCTGTCAGAATAACAGGGGGGGGGAGCCCCAATTTGTAGCGTTTGCTGAATTCTGTAGTGCAAATACTCCCACCCTAGCCAATTTCAAGCTACTGATGAATTAAGGACTGACTCACACAATTTCTGAAAATTTAACAGTTGGCTCTGGCACCCCACTCCAGGGCCTGGATTCGGGGCATGGGGTGATTCTGTGCAGTCCAGGTGGCAGAATTGGTGGGGAGCATCCGGGAGGACCTCCTCCTGATAGGCAGACATTTC